CCCGGGCTTGTGTCGGGGATGGGCGCAGGAATAGGTGCTGCTATTCACGGGGAGCCTCTCAGCCGAGGAGAGAAAAAAATACAAATTAAAAAAAAAAAAAAAGAAGAAGAGGGAGACTTAAAACGGATTCGAAGGCACAGCGCCCCATCCCTGAGGCGACCGGACTACAGGGCCCGCTCACAGGTCCTGGCGTCGCCTCTTGGCAGGGCTGCCGCCCTGGGCCACACGGATGTCCGCCAGCACCAGAGCCCCGTTACCCTCGGAGATGTACAGCTGTAACTCTGAGCAGTAGTCTTCGGCCTGGAAAACGTTAAAATGAAGGCACAGGCCTTGCCAGGGGTGCGTGGCCCTGGGCGACACCTCCGGGGGGTGCCAACCTTTCTGCTGTCTGTGCCAGCGCCTGGGCAAGACGCTTGGCTTAGACCCCCTGCTGAGGTTAGGTGTGATGAGCTCTGCTGCAAGGTACAAATACTCAGTGCTATAGAAGACATCTGTGCGCTTATTTTTCTATGCTATAGCAATTTTTGTCAAGCCCTATCTAAAGACCAGCTTGTGTGGAGAGCAATTCTACCCTTGTGCACTTATATATCAATGTCTGTACTTAACTGTTACCATGTACTGTTCTAACTGTAGTTACAGTTGTAGCGTGGGTTTTCATTCATTTCCGTGTATGTCTGGTGGAGGTACAAACAGCTTGTTGTAGTTGCCATTGCTTAGGAAGTGCATTTCTACATACCGTATCTTTGCAGTTTTTACATCTGCTGCGTCTTCTAGGCTTGATTAAGCTTTACAGTATTTTATTTTTCAGGAGAAAAATAAGTTTATTTTATTGGTAGCTTTATTTATGTTTCTGAATTACTCCACCTGGATATTTATGTGCGTCTTGATTTGTATAGAGAGAAAGGGGAGAATGAGTTTTTTCTTTCCAAACTCTATTTCACACTAAGCTCTGCTTATATTAGTTATGTGAAATTCAGATGTAAATATTGCAGTTGTCTAAAAATTTGTTCGTAAGTACTCTCTTGCTAAGCGCCACAATGCTAACGTTTAAATATCTATAACCAAGCGTCTGAGTTAATACTTTGCCAAGATGAACGTAGCCAGTGCCAATTCTCAGAAATACAGTTGGTGGTCCTCTGCAGGTTCAGGCATCTCTGCATCAGTTTACAGTCCAGGTGAGTATTCCAGGCAGACTTTCAGAACAAAAACAGCCAGAGAAGAAAGGTAGATTTTACATAGTGGAAATGGTTTTTTTTACAGCTTCCACACTTAGTAATTAATTTATTTAAGGCTGGGGAGAAATGGTGTTTTGTAACTTTGGCAATGTGTATTTCATCCCCTGGGACATTTCCCTGACTGTATAAAATATTCCCTGCTTTGTTTCCCAGGCCATGGCTTTTTATTCCCACCAGTCCCTCCGCATCACTTTATCCATCTATCCCTTTCTCCTCACTCTGTTTCTCCACTCTGAATCTCCCTCCTTCACCAATATGCCCACAGGGCTCTGTTTAACATATTCCCTCCTTCCTTAATCCCTGTTCCCATGGTCATTTGCCAAGTTTCCCCCACCCAGCTCTTTTGGTTTTGATTTCCTCATTTTTATCTTGCAACTCATTCTGTTCCCTAGCACATCTCTCCCTCAGCCACTTCCCCTTTTCTCTGCCTCATTAGCCTTCTCCTCTTAGCACTGACCCCCAAAGCCTTTGACAGTCACCCTGAGATTCCCCACTTTCTCTTGTATATACACGTTCCCCTTAAGGTTCTCTTGGTTCTCCTGGTCAGATAGCAAGCTGATGTGATGGTGCCTGGCACTGCACAGTTTGTGTCCGTGGGGCAGATGTTTTTCAGCTCTCAGCCACGTTTTGGATGGTGTTGATTTTTTTCGGAATGGTGTCCTAGGACATGGCATTTGAAGCTTTTTGCTTTCTGTGGCAACAAGGACATAATACAATAGCTCTGCAATAATAATAAATATCAAAATCCACACAATAGCTTGGTGATGTAGTCACATTTTGCAGGTGGCTTTTGCATTAACAAAGCCAACATATATACGTGTGCATACATTTCCCTTCAGGGCTAGCTGTTTTGCTAGATATCGTCATTTGAATTGCTTCTTAAGTGGTGTCCAGCTGCCGAATGAAATGCTTGTGCTGAAACACTTAACAAAGAGAATGGTGCGGGTTCTGTTATTAAAACTCAGACTGCAAGTTTGCTGTTGCTTTTAGTGAATGGGTGGCAGTAAGAGGTGATTAACAAATTTTTCCTCTTGCAATACCAGATCCTAATTTTTCCCACAGATCAAGCTTTTTGCAATTACCGAACGCAAAGCAAAATAAAGTTTTGTATTATTTACCTTGTTTATCTTTGAAGGAGATGGGAATTCTATATCATCCCATGGGAATGTGTCATTACTGGCTACAATAGCTGATTGTGTAAACAGTGACACAGGACTATAAAAGGTTTTCCTTCTGCCACGATACACGACTGTGAATTTTGTCTCCAGGTTTTTCAATAGGAATGCAAAATTTATTTGGAGAAAAAGCCTGAATTTTTTTAAAAATTAATCTATGCAGACCTGTTAACTGGCCTCAGATACATAAGAAGCACAAAGTTCTTCACTAATACTGTCAATATCGTACCACAAATGTAAGCATAAGCAAAGACAGTTGATGAGAAATATAGAAAGTGGAACGTGGAAAAAGTGGAAAAGTCTGAATACGAAAACAGTGGAATGTATTCGTGTTAGTCTTGATTAACAAAAACAATGCAAAGAGGTACTAAACAGCAAAAGTATATAGGCAGTAATTTGTTCAGTCATCTAGGATCATTTATATCCAGCAATTTTAAAGTAAGAGAATAATTTGTTCAGCAACGTTCTCACTTAAGAAAGCTGAAATGGTGAAAACCTTAACTTTTCCATCCTAACTCTTTCTATAGCTAGCAGGCTGGGGCAACTATTGCTCTTTCCCAGAAGCAAATGTAAACCTTTTTGCAATTTGACACTGGCAAAGACCCTAAAGACCCCTGGATGAAAGAGACAGATGTGTATTATTATAACTATTATGGTAGAAAATCATTGAACTGTTAAAAATTAGTAAGCACAAACTTACATACTATGATCAAATGAAATGAATTGTAAAGGTCAGTCCAAAACTTAGGTACAGCCAAGAACTAGAATCGCCTGTCCCAATGAACTTTGTGCCAGATTTCTGAAAACGGTGCAGAGCCCCATGTTAGGATAACTCGTTAAAAACAGGGTGCATGCTGTAGTAGCAAAATGAAACTTGGGACAGACTGGGAAAAAACACGAGAAGGGACTGTACGATTCGAGTAGGAAGAGAGAGCGTCTAAACCTGACGAGGGTTGCAAAGTCTTTGCCTGCCGCCCCTCCCCCGGGGCGCGCGGTGCACACGCACAGCCTGCGCCACGCGCGGCAAGCCTAGCTGGCGCGGAATTCGAACCC